GCTCGGCTCTTGTGTCAGGACATGCCCTGCTCAGAGCCACCCAGCGGGCTGCACCTCCCAACACAGGATGGGTGAGGGGCCCAGTCTCCCCAGCCACCCTGAAAAGCGGCGCGGGGTCCAGGTTCTCGCAAAACAGCTCCGGTCTTGGCTGAGAATAACCAGGTGGTCAGAGGAGGAACCTCAGGTCAGATGCAGCCTAGAGCCCGCTGGCAGCTCTCTGTGGGCGCGGAGAGCCACCGGACTCCTGGAGACTGTGGTCTCCTCTGTGAAAGGACGGCGGCCCAGCTGGGCTCCTGACGCCTCTCCGAGAGTCCACAGTGCTGGCGTGGAAGCCGCGCGCTCCCCGCTGGGCAGGGAGACCATGTCCTTCTCCACGGCCCCCAAGAGCCTGCTGCCCCCAGTCCTGGGGAGCACAGGACATAGGCGGGGGCCCGGGGCGGGCTGTGTTTTGGAGGCCTGGCCAGTGGACACAGGGTCTCCCTGAGGCCCACCCTCTCCCACCTGGGCCCCATCGTGCAGGAAGGAGCCCTCCACCCAGAACCAGGCCTCTGGGCCAGAACAGCCAGCATTCCGGCCAGCCCCAGCCCTTCCTCCAGGCCGGACCCACACATCACGTTCCCTTTCCCGGGAACAGAAGACCCATCGCCCTTGTCGTCCGGGGCTGCCCGGTCCCTGTGTGAACAGCTACTCGGCCAGAGAAACAGTCATTTCTATGCCATAAAATGGAATTCCACGTGTTCACTAAAAAGGAATGCTGTTGATCAAGCGAAGCGTATGAAACACAGAGGCGAAGGGTCGCCTGACGCACTGGGGCCCTGGTGAGCCGCGTCCGCTGGGCTGGGCCGGGCAGAGAGGGACGCGGGGTCTCCGCCAGAAGCCGGGCACCACCTGCGTCCACACGGGACACTGAGGGATCACGGCTGCATCGTCATGCCGCCCCGCTCCGGGCCGCGGTCAGAGCTGCTGGGCCAGGGTGTGGATGGGGTCCGTCCGCTTCACCTGGAATAGAAGCCGGCGGTGCTGACAGAACAGCTGAGCGGTGTTCTGACGAGCATCAGCGGGGCGGGGGTCCACCTGAGACCCGGGCGCCCACCCGCTGACCGGCCCACGTGACCTCTGCCGAGGGTGGCCTTGAGCCAGGCAGGAACCCCGACCGTGAGACGGTGCTTCCACACCTGGCCCTGACCCCCACCCCAACACAGGAGGGCTGCTGACCCCATCCTCACCCCGCAGACTCGGCCGCGACCCTCGTGGATGCAGCCGGCAGGGATGCGGCCAGGTGCCCCGGGCACAGGGAGAGCGAACAGAGAACCGGGGGCCTCCCAGCGTGGCAGCGGGGGCTGGGCGAGCCGTGGGGGCAGCGGGAGGTCGGGGGCGCACTCTGAGGGCCGGCCGCGAGTGGGAGGAGGGCAGCCTCACGGGCCGGGTCCGGAACCCCTGACTCCCAGACGGCAGGACAGCCCTGCCAGCCTCCACGCGGGGCGGGAGTGGACACAGCGCTGCCCCCGAGCGCAGACACCCTGCTGCTTGGATGTTGGGACGCGGGTGGCTCGCAGCTCAGCATCCAGCCCTCCTGGGACCGATGGACAGGCCGGTGGCGGTCCCCTGACACGGACGGCCCGCAGCCCCCTGGATGGGCTGGCTCGGGGACACAAGCCAGTCACAGGAGCACGGACCCTGCGGGCCTCTCCTCACAGGAGGCCCTAGAGGCCCTGAATCAGAGACAGAGAGGAGGACGGGGCGGGGTCGTGTTGACGGGGACAGTTTCGGAAGATGAGAACGTTCTGGGAACAATGGTGCGATGTCTGCCCAGCTGTGTGAAGGTACTGAACACCCCTGAGCTACACAGTGAAAAATGGTTAATAGGGTACATTCACGTTATCAGTACTGGAAGGTCTGATGCTAAGAAGCTCCAGTACTTCACCCACCTGATGGGAAGAGCTGACTCATTGGAAAAGACCCTGATGCTGGGAAAGATTCAAGGCGGGAGAAGGGGACGACAGAGGATGAGATGGTTGGATGGCATCACTGACTTGATGGACATGAGTTTGAGTCAACTTTGGGAGTTGGGGATGGACAGGGAGGCCCGGCATGCTGCAGTTCATGGGGTCGCAGAGTTGGACACGACTGAGCGACTGAACATCAGTATTTCACCAGGACTAAAAAAAACAAAACTCCAGCAGCTCACGGTACCGTTTTGAAATAGGTGCTGGTGTGGCTGCCACCGCCCCCGTCAGCTCCTCCGCAGGCCGGGAGCCGGGCCCCTCAGCTTGGCCTCCCAAACGAGGCCATTTATTCATTCGCTCATTTAGTTCTTCAAGATACATGGATTGAGCAGCCCCCTGCGAAGCCCTGAGCTGGACGCTGGTGGTGGGGCAGGGTCCCAGGCCAGGCCCCTCTGATTCTGCCATAGAGGCAGGGCTGTCGGGGTCTCCGGTTGTTGGCCGAGGCCTCTGGCTCCGTCACTGCTTGGGGGTGCACAGCCTCTGGGCAGACCCTATGGGCGGGGGGTGACAGACCCAACCTCCGGGTGGGATGTGGGCCCCCTGCTCTCGACGGGGGTGACAGGCTTGCACGTCCTAGAAGGGTGGGGAGCTCAGAGGAGTTGCCTGGCTGAGAAGGTGGCGAGGGCACCTGGCCAACTCACTGGACAGCCTGCAGTCCCCGGGGCCTGTCCCCAGGTGCCCCCGGCCAGGCGGGCACAGCGGAGGGCCAGCAGGGGCCAGCCCCGGGAAGCTCCGAGGGGGCTCTTTAGGCAGGGGGGCGGTGTGGGGCAAGGGAGGGACCCGGCCCCTGCCAGCTCGGCGGGGGCCATCCGCTTCTGTCCTCAAGGTCGGGAAGGTGGACACACGGAGCTCAAGCCCCAAGGGCCCTGCCTGCTCCCCCACCCGCTAACGTCTGGGCTGGGGGCCGCCCAGTCACCCGGGGCTGGACAGAGGGGTCAGGGCCGCAGGGATCAGGCCCCAGCCCCAGGGGTCCTCGTCCACCTCGAGGACAAGGCAGTCCCTAGGTCCCCAGGACGACACCCACAGGGGCCGAATGCGCCACGGACTGGGAGGTGCCAGGTGGGCCCCAGGTGGGCAGAGACATGGCCTGGACCTAAGCCCGGAGGGTCCTAGGTGCCCCTCTGATCTACAAAATAAAACCTCTTTCTGGCAAAACACCAGGCATGACTAATACCATCACTGGGGCCCGCGTCTTTGAGGCTCCAGCAGTAGTCTGGAAGCTTCCCGGGAGCGGGTCCTGGTTCCATGCTGCCCGGACGGACTGGGGACGGCACACAGGGGCCCAGCGGTGCCTCTCCTGTGAGAGCGCACTGCTTTCAGAACGACCGTTCCCCAGCGTCTGCTGCAGCGAGCTCCTCAGCCCCCTATCACCGAGAAGGGCTGGTGCCTGGAGGGCGTCCTGGGGGCTGAACCCGGACCCCTCCCTCCCGCCTCCCGGGCCCGCACCCGCCGAGCCCCACCCTGGATCGAGGCCCACCCGGCCCAGGACTGATGCCTCCCTCCCGGCACAGGCCACCGGCCGGCTGGCTCCGCCCCGCCCTCGGCCTCCCCGTCACTCGGGGGCCGCGTGAAGACAGACGTGGGGGCACCGCGGCCTGCTGACCCGTCGCAGATGACCGGCCCGAGGCAGGCACCTCCCTGGGTCCCCACAGTAGGACGCTCCGGTGTGTGGTTCGCTGAGCTGGACCCCAGTCAGAGGCCGTGAGGCGGGGTGGTCCTCCCTCAGAGAGGCGGCTCTGAGCCGTGTCCCCCTCCCACGGCCTGGGACGCAGCAGCGGTCCTCCAGGACGGACTCCTACCGCCGGCGCCTATCCGGCTCCCCACGCGTCCGCAAGGCCACTGTCTCACCATCCAGTGCTCAGGGGATGGGGGGGAACGTGTCCCCCGCGGTCGCACATTTCAGGGTCTAGACCCCAAAACCTCACTGGACCCCTCATGACTAAGATGACGGAGAAGAGTTGCTCTGTTTAATTACTAGTAACTGGGGTTCACAAAGGATGCCGAGTGATGTCAGTCAGTAACAGTTTATTCACGTGGGTAGCACTTAAAATCCGGTATGCTTTCATAGTTACATTTTCCACACTAAGCAGCAAACACCGTCCACTCTACCCCCCAAGGGCCCCGCACTACCTCCCCCCACGGTCCCCCGAAAACCACCGGCGTCACGCTCGCTCCCGGTGCCCACGCTCACGGAGCTGCCCCTCACGCCCGGGCTCCCGGGGCAAGGGCCGCTGGTGTGTGAAAACCCCGCGGAAGCTTCTCACGGAGGCCTCGGTGCCCGGGGGGAGGGCGAGGGGCTGCTGTTGAGGAAGGCCCTGCCGGGGCGGCTGCGGAAAGCTGGGGACCCCCGCCCAAGGGGGGAGCTCTTTGGAGGAGTGGAGCCGAAGCTCTAGTTCTCAGCTCAGCGCACGGGCTCGGCTCCCGAGGAGCCCGGACCCACACTGAGGGCCGGAGGAGGCCCCACGGGGCAGAAGCTTGTAGACTCCCGCCTTCCTGCCAGAACAGCTCCGGGTCCAGGAGGAGATGGGCGAGCGGAGGTGGAACGCGGGCTGCTTTCAGAGGAAAGGGGCGAAAACCGTCAACGTGAGGGCGACTCCAGCCCTCGAGCGGCCGCATCGCCTGAGGAAGGTCTGGCTCCCTGAAGCTGCGGGAGGGGTCGCCCGGAGTTGGGGGTCACCTTCACGCCGCCCTGTGCTTAACTGGAGCCTAGATTCACACACGCAGCGGCAGGAGGAGAGGGCGTGTCAGAGCATGCACACGCACCCGGGCCGCGCACAGCCGAGGCGGCGGGACCCCGCGTGTGTGCCGGGCAGCGGGGGGCCGCGGCCACGGGAGGGGACGCGCGGGCGCGGCGGGAGGGGCAGGGTCGGCCGGCGGCTCCGCCCCCCGACCTCCGCACCAGCGCGCCCCAGCGCGGCTCCGCCCCCCGACCCCAGTGCGCCCCCCGCAGGAGGCGGGCCGCACGCGAGCGGACACGGCTGCTCCGCCGGGCGTCTAGAGGGGGCCCTTGGTCGGCTTCTTCTTCTTCGACTCCTCCCTGTGCTTCGGTTTCTTCCTCTTGCTGCCTTCTTTGAATCCTAAGGAGACAGGCGTGTGAGACGCTGCAGGGCGGCAGCGCGTGGCTCTAAACGTCCCCTCCCCTGCTGACGAGACACACCGCGGCAGACTCCTGCCTGCTCCGTATCTGAGGCCCAATGGGAACATGAGCTGACTCAACACCTGACGATGAAAGCCTCTCACACCAGCTCCCCGGGTGCCGGAGGCCGAGTGCCCGCCCGCCCGCTGGGAGACCCCTGCCCCACGCCCGCCCGGCCCCACGACCCACCCCGAGGCACCCGGGGGCCCCTCTGCAGGCAGAAGCCCAGGGGGCCCCGTGTCCCGCCTTCCTGCCTGCCAGAGGCTGGGGAGGAGGACGCGGGCCTGACCCGCTTGCCCTTCTGGGGTTCCACCCGGAGCCAGGCGCCGGGGTCCACTCTGCACGAACAGCTCAGAACCTGTGTGCGTGTCCACACGGACGCGAGGGACGGGGACGCTGAGTGTGGGGGCCAAACGACCACTGAACGTCCTGCCCAGAACCGGACCAGGGTCACTGCGGGTCTGTAAGCTGGCACACGTGGGCCCCTCAGCCCGAGAAGGCCACCTGAAGCGTCCTTGGGTTTCACATTACACAGCAGGTGCATCTCAGAGCGTGACCGCTGGGGCCCCAGTCTGTTCACTGCTCCTGCACCCACTCGGGGACCCCTTCTCAGAGGACCAACACCCGGTGGGCGGGCCCTGGGCTAGTCACATGGGCGCCGACAGCAGCCCGAGACCCAATCACGATGCCGTTTCCGGGCGCGGGTGGGGAGTGAGGACACAGGCGCCTCCTGGAACTGAGGCTGCAGGCCCTGGAACCCGTGGGCCGGTGGGGGCGGGCGCCAAGGCCCAGGTGCAGCCCGTGTCCTGCCCCCTCCCTGCAGAGGGCCCACAGTGCCCCGCGCAGGTCACCCGGGGTGACAGCGCCCCACAGAGGGCCCGCGGCAGGGGACCTGAGGCTCTCACGCAGGGAGGTGGGGCCTCATCGTCGCCCAGACCGAGCTGCCTGCACAAAACACCCGGAGGAGACACCTGCCAAGCCCTGCCCACACAGATCTCCGGGAGCCGCCCGTCCACTCGCGGCCGCGGCATCCTATCTCCACACCCAAGTGGCTGGACCTGGTCCTGCCCACTCGGGCCTCGCGGGCCGTGAAACCCCGACCCCAACGGCCCGCAGCGCCCCAGCCAGGTCTGGGAAGGTGAAGGACCAGTGCTGTTCTTCACTCAGGAGTTTGTTTCATGCTGAATAACTTCAATTCTCATTTTTAACAGCTCCACATTCTGGACAGACCCCCGGTGTGTGTGGAATCCACAAATGGACAACACTAATCCTTTCTGCACATCTCGCTGCCCGGTTTACGGTCCCAAGAGGCGTGCGATGCGCCCTCTGAATAAAGCTGGTCACCACACTTCACAGAAGCGCCAGCAAGAAGGGCCCATTGGCATGAACAAAGCTGTCCACTGTTCACAGAGCTGCCCATGGCTGCCCCACGCCCACCGCGGACCGGCCCGACCCTGAACCACACAGGCCAGGCAGTCCACACAGGAGGCCCTCCCGGGCCGCAAGTCCACAGCCTGAGGGCTGAGAGCACACCCACAATCAGAACCCACCCGCCAGCCCCTCAGGCACCTCATTCTGGTGGGGCAGAGACACCAGACCTACTGTGGGGGCCACACTCCTCCCCACACACTAAGAAGACGACCCAGGACGCGGCAACCTGGCCAAAGTCACCGTGGGACCCTCCCCACCACACGGGAGCACGCCCCCCAGGGGCAGCTTATCTTGGGGATGGGGCGCCCAGCGGGTTCCATCACCGTGCCGGAGGTCACTGACTTGCTGGGGACACCTAGCTCGACCTGCGACCCCAGCCACCTTTTCCACTGTTTCTGGAACCTTCCTTTGGATCAAGCAGCTCTGTCATCTCCCAGTAAGAATTTGAAGAGCTCACTACAGTCACACCACAGTCAAATAGACGTCGTATCTTGAACCTTCTGGTGGCTTCACGCTGGCACGCTGCTGAAGTCCTCAGCGCTCGGTACGGGAGGTGGACATAAACAGCAAGAGGCGGACCGGTAGCACCAGCCTCCGCCAGGCCCCCTGGCTACCCGAGGCCACCCCGGGACACACGTGGGAGCAGCACCTGGTAGAGATGGAGCCCCCCGCGGGCCGCATGTATGAGGATGTGCTGGTGTCGACAGCCTCCCACCTGCAGGCACCTGGGCGGAAACTGACCAAGCGCGAGATCTCAGTCACTTTGCTTTTCCTGCCGAATCCTCCTCTCCCGAGACCCCCTGCAGCGGCCAGTGTCCTCCCCTCCACGGGCCGGCCTCCGCTACCCACAGGCAGCAGGGGCCTCGCCGTGGCCCCCAGTTTCACCTCCTGACCAGACGTCTAGACAAGTGCCTGGAGGCAGGCCTGAGCCCCACATCGGAGGCAGGTCCTTCCAAGCAGAGGGACCCCTTCCAGCCACGAGACCCCTACTCAAGTCCTGCGTGTCCGGGAAGCTGGACTTGCAGCCCTGCTCCCCCCCCTCATCCAGCCTGCGTGCCATCGGGGCCAGGAGGTGGTGATGAACCCGGGGAGGACGCCCGCAGGCCCACGCAAGGCACAAGCAGCCTGTTCCGAGCTCACCCAGCCCTTCTGTCTGCCTCTGCTTCTCACTCAACCACCCAGGAGAGGCTACGGCTCCCACGTGGACCATCTCCCTGGAGCTGGGTCCCCGCGGACCTGGCTCGGGGCCCAGCACACACACCGTCCGGCAGGCAGACGGGACAAGCCCTGCCCTCAGGGGCAGACCCGGACCTGCTCCGAGTGAGGAGGGCACCAGGGGGGCTGCAGGCACTGAGCTCCCAGCAGGAAGTTCTGGGAGAAGAAAGCCATGGACCTCGGCCTTCGGGTCCCTGCCTTGCCCCAGGTGCAGTCAACCTCACTGAGATGTCACCCTAACTCAGGGGATGAGGGCCACCTGTCCCTCCACCCCGTGGCCAGCTGTGGTCAACCTGGAGACTTCCGGTGCTGAAAACCAAGACGAACGCTTGGAACAGAGGAGCCACCCGAACCATAGATTTCCGTCTCCCGGCTTCAGACTCAGCCTGCAATGCAGCCATGTCATCAGACTTGACCCAGAACCTTCTACAGGGACCGCAGTTCACAGAACCCCCCCCACAGCCCTCCCCCCCCAGCTCTCCCAAGATAACGGCGGGTCAAAAAGCTGGAAGAGGGCGCAGCAGGGCCCGTGTGTCCCGGGTGGACACCTCCCCTGGGGGAGGGGGTGGACAGGTCGAAACCCTGCGAGAGGACCACTGGGGGCAGGGGCCCCAAGGCTGCGCCGGTGACCAGCACGAGAGCGGGGAGCAGGGCTCAGGCCGCAGACGGAGGGCTCCCGGGGGCAGGCCGTGCACACGGGCCCGGCCGAGACAACACACACATGCGGTGCTGGGAGCCTGGCACCGGTTTAATGTGGCCGCGCCCGCCGCCCCCACCCACCCGTCAGGCCAGCACGCAGCAGCACAGAAGGCTTCTCGGTCCTCGGGGGCCCCGCGGCGGCTGAGGTGCGGGGTCCCGGTGCACACCTGCGCAGAAGGTGCCTGGCGCGTCCTCGTCCTCCCCTGCGGCGTGCGCCGACGGCCGGGGCGGGGGCCCGGGCCGCGGCGGCCGCAGCGAGCGGGCGCTGGAGCTGGCGGGCTGGGCGGGCAGCGCGCTCTGGCCTCGTCGCAGGCACTCCTCCGCGAAGGCGTCCTCATCGGCCACACCTGAAAGCACACAGGACGAGACGCGCGTGAGCCGGGCCAGTGCCGCGTCCTCGCGCCTGCGGGGCTGGAGCTGAGCCTCGCAGAGAGAAAGGGGGAACCAGGCTGGGCCTCACCGGGCCCAGGCTCAAGGATCCCGAAAGCCCCCCGCCGGTCCCAGGGCAGGGCTGGCTGTGGGCCCTGCTGGGGCAGCTATAACCACAGGCCCTGCCACGATGAAGGCGGTAGACACCCCGCGTCCCCCGCTTGTGCCAGAGCAGAGCAGGAGCTCTGAGCCGAGGACCCGCACACACGGTCACCTGTCACAGCAGACACACGGCCAAGCGCGTGCTTCCGCGCTCAGGGTTGTGCTTCTACCAGTCTTTTCGAAGATGGGAGAGAGTTCTGCATGTGATGGGAACACCAGGAACAATAGGAAGTGACCACTGTCACCGAGCGACTTCCGGCTTCCTTCTCTGCAGTCACAGCGCCCTCCGTGAGGGCACGGCTGCCAGCAGCCGGGGAAATGGGGACCCCGAGTGGTGGTGGCACCCCTGTGCCCCCGGGGGGCTAGCGTGGAGCCCTGAGCCCGTCCAGCATGCCCCACGGGGTCTTCCACGCGAGCGCCCCCTTGGGTCACCCAGGTCCTGGCTCCCCCCCCACCGCAGACCCCCCTCCACTCCTGCTCCCCCTGGGGAGGAAAAGACGACCGGGATGCTCCCGAAATGAAACATGTAACCAGAGCCCTGCTCTTTCATGAGGCTGCAATCACAGCTGCTTCGCCCTGGTAACTGGTCCCCAAGCACCAGGCTCCGTGCTGGGCAGGGGCTCGGGGCCTGGCTTCCGTCTTCTCCAGACGCCGCCTCCTCCCCAAACCCCATACCTGCCCCGGCTGAGGAATAATCCTCCTCCAGCAGCACAGACGCTCACCCAGGAGATGCAGGCCGAACACCGGGGGCCCAGACCCAGGGCCTGTGCTTCCAGGGTGCCCTGTGAAGCCTCTGCCCACCCCGCAGGCCTGGCGGGCACCCTGGGGCTGGCCTCCACCAGCCTCCCGATCCCCCATGACGCACACTCAGGCCTGGCGGGCGCCCTGGGGCTGGCCGCCACCAGCCTCCCGATCCCCCCACGACGCACACGCAAGCCTGGCAGCAGGGAGGGGCGCCTGGCGGTCAGCACAGGGGCCTGGCCGCTCTCACATCAGATGCCCACCCCGAGGGGCGCTGGCTGAGGAAGCAGGCCCGGCCGCGGCCCTCACCCCCGCCCCCCACCTGCACGCAGCTGCCTCACCACCCCCGAGGGTCACCAGCACCTCTGGGACACGGGCTGTGTGCGTGAACAGAGCGCCTCTGGGACACAACTGTCTGTAGGAGGAAAGCGCCTGAGTGCAGGGGCCCGGGGCGGGGCAGGGCTGGAAGCCTAGGGGCCATGGGGTCCAGCACACAGACACAGGCACGGGACCCCCAAATATGAGGAGCCCTCCAGGGGAGGGGGCCCCAAAGGCACAGCTGATACACCACTGTGATGGCGACACGACCTCCAATCCACGCGGGGCGTGGCGAGTGGGGGAAGGTGGGCAGCCCCACCCTGCAGCTGAGCTGCCCCCAGGCCCACACTTGGCTCCCGTCCACCCAGGAGCAAGCAGCAGGCCATCCGTTCCCGGTGACTTCAATGTGCTTTTGTGGGGACACCACGCCGCCAGATGGGGCCTGAGAGCCCAGGTGCTCAACAGGCTCACTCTGGGTGGCCGCGTGCCCACGACGGCCTAGAGAAGGCGGGGTGGACGTCCTGGGGGCTACCCGCCTCGGGTCACCTCAGACCCCCAGGGTCCGTCAGCTGTCCAGGAAGAGGCGGGGCTCCCCCAGCCCCGTCCCACCCAGGGAAACCCACCGCGCGTCCTTGTGAGGGCGAGGCCGGCCCGCCTGCTCTGGACGGGCTCCCAGGGCGCCAGCGCACAGGCAGGGGGACCCTGCAGGACCCGCGGAACCCTCCCGGCCCCAGCACCTCCCCCGTGCTCTGGGCTGCACCTGCCGTCGGTCGGGAGCACGAAGCTGTCACTGAGACGCCAGGCCTGCCGCTCGGAGCATGCAGGGCGCCCCCTCATCCAGTGGTCAGGACGCCATGCTTCTACTGCTGGGGGAGAGGGTTCGGTCCCTGGTCAGGGAATAGGATCCCATGTGCCCCGGGGCATGAATAAAATGAAAAACATGTTTAAATTTGACAGCTGCTCTTATTTTTACAAAAGCGCACAGAACATACTCCAGGGCTCAGGGTCTGGCGATCCCCACTATGGGAGAAGGGGGACCCCTCCTGGGTCCCAGGGTCCTCTCGGCATCCAGATGGCCGTTGGGCCCCTAATGATGACGCACACGCACCCTCGAGGCTGGAGCCCAGGGCATCACATGCACTTGCTCACGCGGGGCAGCCCCTCCCCGGGCACACCCAGCTCGGCGAGGGACCCGTGCTATGCTGACCTGGCGGCCCCTGGCTCCGGGCACCCTCCCGCCTCCTGCCCGCCGCCATGAAGCCCTCTCTCTCAGGAGCACCAGGCCACAGGGTCTCTGAACCAGGGACCGTCCAGGATGACTGAAGGGCCGTGGCTGAGGCCCACGCTCTCGGGCGTGGCGTCTGGGAGCCCCTGAGAAGGGATGGTACCTGCACGGCTGGGCTTCTCACCAGCCCATGGGCCGGGCCCCCGTAGCACCAGCAGTCCCCAAGGCCCTGGGCCTGGAGCAGGACGATCAGGTCACTGACCCCACAAGGCTCCCCTAAAATCCCACCTGTGTCATGTGCCAGGAGAGGGTCCTCAGCAGGGCGGGAGGGGGCAGCGGGGCTTGAGAGAAAGAAGCGTGGATACTGAGAGCTTCTCCCAGTAGCTCCGCTGGGTGCCTTCTGAAAGAGATCCTTCCATGTGTATCCACACAAGCGCTCATTATGAAACGTTACACGCAGAGCAACAATGGACATGGACAGGTTTACAAAACGTGAGGCCACCATCCTCTCAGACGCAGAGGCATCAGGCGAAACGCCCGGCTGCAGGAGGCGCACGCACGCTGAAGTCAGGATTGCCGGCTGTGTGCTTAGTCGCTCAGGCGTGTCCGCCTCTTCCCGACCCCGTGGACTATAGCCCACCAACCAGGATCCTCGTCCACGGGGAGTCTCCAGGCCAGAATACTGGAGAGGGTTGCCATGCCCTCTTCCCAGGGGATCTTCCCAACCCAAAGATCAAACCCAGGTCTCCTGCATTGCAGGTGGATTCTTTACCAGCTGATAACCAGGGAATAACCTCAGATACGCAGGTGACACCACCCTAATGACAGAAATTGAAGAGGAACTAAAGAGCCTCTTGATGAAAGTGAAAGAGGAGAGTGAAAAAACTGGCTTAAAACTCAACATTCAGAAAACCAAGATCATGGCATCCAGTCCCATCACTTCATGGCAAACAGATGGGGAAACAGTGGAGACAGTGAGAGACTATTTTCTTGCTCTCCAAAATCACTACAGGCAGTGAATGCAGCCATGAAATTAAAAGATGCTGTTCCCTGGAAGAAAAGCTATGACAAACCTAGACAATGTATTAGACAGCAGAGACATCACTTTGCTGACAAAGGTCCAAATAATCAAAGTATGGTTTTTCCAAGTACAGATATGACAGTTGGACTATAAAGAAAGCTGAGCGCCCAAGAATTGATGCTTTTGAACTGTGGTGTTGGAGAAGACTCTTGAGAGTCCCTTGGACTGCAAGGAGATCCAACCAGTCCATCCTAAAGGAGGTCAGTCCTGGGTGTTCATTGGAAGGACTGATGCTGAAGCTGAAACTCCAATACTTTGGCCACCTGATGGGAAGAGCTGACTCATTTGAAAAGACCCTGATGCTGGGAAAGATTGAGGGCAGGAGGAGAAGTGGATGGCATCATGGATCTGATGAACATGAATTTAAGCAAACTCCAGAATGGTGAAAGACAGGGAGACCTGGCGTGCTGCAATCCACGGGGTCGTAGAGTCAGACACGACTGAGCGACTGAATCACCACCATCCTCAAAAGCGTGCCCAGCGGCGGGTGACGCAGACCACTGCTGGAACATGGTGCTCCCCACAGTGAGCGCACTTCACACCCTGGGCACTGGCAAGCCGGGCCCCATGAGGGCCCCCAGGCCGTGACTACAGCTGGGACCAGGCCTGGATGGGGCAGAAGAATTGGCGGACGTGGGTCCCCACTGGCATCTCAGAGCCAAGGCCAGCCTGTCGGGTCTCCACATGCCACAGCCAGGCCCAGCTCCGGAGCTGCCCTGACGGCCACAGAACGCGCATGGCAGGGGTCTGCAAGGTCCCCAGCAAAGGATGTGTGCGCCCGCAACCCAGGTTCTGAGCCGATGCCCCAGACGTCTCCAGCCTCTCCCAGGGCAGTGGCGTCTGGAGCAGAGACGGCTCTGCCTCGGGGCGGCCGGGGCCGCAGATGCCAGTGCCCCACCTCCCCACCCGGGAGCCAGACACCCCATCCCGAGGGGGCGCGTGACACTCCAGGCAGAGGCAAGGCCAGCACTGAAGACAGAGGCGCTGCAGACAGCTGGGGCGGCCTTGCCCGCATCTGCTCCAGGGCTCCTGGTCACGCTACCCTGGTCCTGGAGCCCACTGCCTCCCCGACACCCACGTCCTCCTGCAAGACCTGCCCCCACCCCCAGGGCTGAGTGCGTCCCCTTTGGAGCGGGAGGCCCAGGGCCCCGCGGAACAGGACCCGCCGGTCTCTGCTGGAAGGTGGAGGTCTGGGCCCAGCCAGCCCTCAGGCGCAGCCAGGGACCCAGCCCCAACCCCTTCCACCCACCAGGAAGCAAGGCACCCCCAGCTGAGGACAGACCCGGCTCCTTCCCGGGAAAGCCTGGGGCAGCAGAGGCACCCCGAGCCCCGAGGAGATGGGCTTCGCGAGGCCTGGGAAGACCATTCGCCCCACAGCACTCAGCCCATGGGGGCCTGGCGCCTGGAGAGACTGCGGGGTGTGCCTGCACGGCTGAGACGCCGGGTCCGCG